TAAAAATAATAGCACGTGCGTGCAAACTGCAACTTAATGGATATCAATTTCTGATTCCCCTTTACGCTGTCGTTCTTTCAATTCCCTGTGCCCATTTATTTTCACTTGCACTTGGAAATTTATATTAAGTACATTTTTTTTACTTTAACGATCAGTCACTGACTACTACTTCCCGTTTGAATGGAGCGGTGTCATGAATGAGGCTCGGGGTGTAAACTACCACACTGCGAAAAAAAAACGCCGAAATAATAAACGTATACCGAAAAAGCTACTATTTTGTTTTAAGTGTTGTGTTTCATTGCAGCTCTTATGGTAGAATGTAGAATACCGATCGATACTGCCCTAATATGAGATAACTCAGTTTTACAATGGTAGTTTATAGCTTGGCTAAATTGTCATTTCACAAAATGGGTAATCTTGCCTTTTAAATTGACCAGCAAAATTAAACTAGAAGTGAATTTTACAACCTGGACTAAGGGTATGATTTTTATTTTCGGAAAGCCGTAACCAACATATCAAAATAAATTTAACAGTGACCGCCATACTTTAAATTTAAGGAAACGTGACAACTTTTGACTATTTTAATCTTGCCTTGGAAAAGCGTTCGATTGACGTTTCAAAATTCATTCGCCGCCAACGTGTTGCTATTGGTAGCTTATGCTAATGTATGTAGCTAGTACCACCCCAATAATAATTCCATTATGATATTGCTATAATGCCCTTGACATTTTTGAGGAGAGTACTCCTATAATCACCCCTAACATAAAGGTTCCAAATGTTATTCCACAATCTAAAATATTGGTGTAGCAGAAATCTCTGCCTCATTCCGGTTAAACGATGGCACTAACTGGCATAATATGGCAGTTGCTTTGGAAGCTGTAAGCTGCCGTTTTAGTGTAGTCCTACCCAAAGTAGGTATACTATGGACCAAACGTAACCGACACGTCACAGGAAGCGCTTCCTAATGAATAATGATGAACGAGGTCATTTAGGGCAATCAGAGCTCGTAAACTTTCCCTTTCACTTCGAATTAGTATAAATAGGGTCGCATTGTTCCGTTGTCCGTTGATGATGATAGCCTTGCTGTCGAAACGCGTTCGAGGTTTTAATATATTATTGTTGTTTATTGGTGTTTTTGTTTTAATTTTGCAATCTGTATTTAACTTAACTGCCATCAACAACGAATGATATCAATTATAACGAAAAAAAATGGGTCTGCTAAAGTATTTATTTCAAGACATTTTAAGAAAATGACGGTCATAATTTTAGAAAACCTAAAATAAAACGGAAAGCGTAACAGATAGGTGGTAAGGGATCGTAATAATTGAGTGATGTAGAATTTTTGTCAACATTTGAAAGTGCAAAAAATTAAGCATGATTTATTTGAAAAAAATCAACTGAATATATTAAAATTATAGTTTTAAAACTCCCTGTAAACGGACGATCTAAATTTATATCATTTTCAATGTGGCATTAAGTCAGCATTGTTGATTTTGAAAGACTTTAAAATTTAAGTCAACGAAGTTATAGTCAAAAGAAAAACAATCAATCGTCAAAAATTTAAAAAAATTTTGAATAACTTAAAAACCTTAGATGCTGGGTATAGGGAAGTGTGGTATCCAACGACGTAGATTTTCATATATATTTCCAAAATGCAATAAAATATAGGGGGTTCTATTTACAATAAGAAAGTTGCTATGCACGTTCTGTAAAACTTGAAGTAAAATGATCATCATCTTTTTGTATCGAGGGATATAACTCATTTATGATCCTCGAGGGATAAAAATAATATTGAATTCTGCAGTACATATACCTACTTCAATATCGATTTTTCAAAATACAGAAAGGTCTCATGCGGCACATATATAAAAAAAACGCTGTAGATTTTTGACTAGTAACTTTCACTGCATATTTTTGACAAATACGACGCAGTGATCAAAATAGCTGTTTACATATAAAGTGTACATATAAAAGTCAGACATTTCAGTCTGGATTGTCACTTTTTACCCCTCGTCCCGTTTATCTCTCTCCGCGAGAAAAAGCTACACTTTAGTTCCTTAATTGAATGACAAAACACCAAGTAGAAAATATAAAATTGCACCTCGACGGCACTGGGAAAACATTTTAATATGACAATTTGTTTTTCCCACGGCTAGTTCAGTAGTAAAAATGCTTTTTTTTCATTCATTGAAGGGAGTAAGCTGGCACTTTTTCTCCCGCAGGACACATTGAAATGTCAAACACTTTAATGATTAATGCATACCTTTATATGTACAGGGTGGTTCAAATCCGTGGCTCACAATTGGGATCTCCACAACGGTGAGAGATACAGTGTAGGTTAAATGCCCCTTTTTGTGACTAAAAACACACAAATTTTCGAAAAATCTTTGAAAATAACTGGTGGCACCGAGAATCTGAAAATGGGAGAATCTGAATCTATTATCGGAAATTCCATACCACACAGATGTAAAAGCTACAGCAGGCCCGTAGCCAGGGAGTAGTCAGGTGGGGCTGAGCCTACATCATGGGTCTGGTCTGGCCCCAGCTATGCAATAGTATGGTTTATTTTTTTTGTCTTGGTGAGGATAAATAAACCTCAAAGCAATAACACATTAAAGCTGTCCAAATTATTGTCATTTCTAGCATCTGAAAGAATGAACACAACATTTGATTTTCAGAGGGTGCTAACTTGAAAAATTGAAAATTACGGTTATTTTGAAAAAGCCTGCGTTATCATTGTTTTTTTATTAAGCCCCACCTAAAACATTGTTTGCCACCTCGCCATTTTATCCTGGCTACAGGCGTAAGCTACAGGCTACTGTTTTCTTATTTCGTATGGGCGCGATATTGCATTTTTACAGAATCACAGGAACAAAAAAATAAAACCAATAAAGCTAGCAATAAAGTGTCACACTTTATACGTTTACATAAATTTTCAAGAAGCCTTTCAATATCAAAAGTTTTGCATTCGTTTCTCCACAAATGGGTAAGTAGATCTTGCTGAATTTCTTTTTTGTCCTATCACTCTCTAAAAATTCAATATGGCGTCTATAAGAAATTTGTAAGTAGTAGCCTGTAGCTTCTACATCTAGGTTTTATGGAAATTTAGATTCAAATTCTCCGAAAAAAAGAGCCCATACAAGGTGCTAACGAAACCATCCACTTCCGACCGTTCAAGGTAGGAGAAAAGAAAACGAAATTTGCCATTTTTCAGATTTTTCAAAAATTTTAAATGCTTTTTTTAGTCACAAAAGGGGTCAACTTTGTTCCATTTAACATACACTGCACCCTATACATTTTTGTTCTTACACCATATTTCATATTTATTTTACCGTTTTCCATATATATCCCTTTAACTTTGAGAGGCGGTACTTTGCTCATAGCTTGTTCTGCATAATTTTCAACGATCATATTGAATTTTTTTCTTTCAAATTTTGACTTTGAGATTGAAATTGCTAAAACTGATTACAGAAGTATAAAAAATACCGTATATATCACAGGACTAAAGTGCGTTCTAATACATTTGGTGCTTGTTGCCGTCAAACTACGTTTCGGGCAACAATCTGCACACTACACACTTGGTATGTAATTGTACTATTTATTCTCCATGCTTTGCTGAAGCTTGGCCCTCTATTTCTTCAGAAAACCTGAAATTCAAAATTTAATCCTTCAGTTTGATTGAACTCAAATTGGGCATGGGATCTTAGTTGATTGAACATATTAAGTAAAACAAAGGCGATCACGTGTCATTGCTAAGTTTGATGACAGCTTTATAACAAGGGATTAGATGTCAAAACTGTTTTGATAAATAAGATAAGTAAATGTTCGGTGGTTGTTCGGACGGTAGAAATTTTTAAGTTTTAATAAGAAGAAACCCTTTACAAAAGGACTCGCTGTACTACATTGCTTCTTTTTTCAACTCGAAAAACTTTTTCCGCAATCGCACAACACGCAATTTGGGTTAACTTGCTTTTGCGCAGATTTATTGTAAAACAATGACGAACTGCGTCTTCATCAAAGTAAATTAATTTAGCGTAAACAGAAGTACGCGCCTTTTTACCGTCGCGAAAACTAGCAGCTGCGTTTACTCGTTGTCTCCAGAATTTAAGGAAACACCACTTCCACCAACAAATAAACTCATTCATTAACAAATTTGATATAACTCGCCCATCAACGACGGTATGCGCCCCACTTCTCTAATATGAAACGCGCAATTCTTCGAAACACCTTATTTCTCCATCGAAACGACTAGATGCGTCCTTTCTAAATTGAATAACTTACAAAAACGATAAAATTTAAACAAGAAGTACGCTTTTACAAAATCTCTAAAAAGAACAAACCAACACTGAGATACAAATTCAAGTAAAACTAACCACCTCTCTGCTTATTTCGTAATTAATCCTTCAAATTTGCTTAAGAAATTGAAATAGTCTCATATACAGGATGTCCCGTTCTTATTTTTATTGTTTAGAACGAAATAACGTATAATGTTGTTTACACAACAATATAGATGGTGGTGCCATTATTATGTGGATATATCTCGGAATGTAAACGATAACGATATTGCTGGAATAGGTTCCTATTCCTACAACCGAAGTTAGAGAACAATTTGAATTATGTGAGAGATAAACAATTTCTCTTGTCCTTTTTTCAGAACAGTATATTAGTAAAAACAACATTTTTTTTGCTTTTCGGACACTATTTGAGCTAAAATTGGGCGGGAAGAATTATTGCTGTTACCTTAGTACTACATTTCCAAGTTATTTTTATTTTATTGGAGTAGTGCGTTCAAAGAATGAACCCCTTTAAACTGTTTTTTGTCGAGGGGTTCTGGTGAACACGGTGACATAGTAAAGAAAGCTACTAGGAAGACGATGTTGTTTCTAGTATCATTCTGTTTCTTTCAACAATTGCATTTTTACTCTTTCATTGAGATTCGAGCTTAATTTGCGATATTGTTTTTAAAATTCGCAATTAATACGTTCCTTTGCGATTTTCAGCACAAGCACAAATCAGTACACCAACGGTCTCAGTCGTTGAACCGTGGTGTACGAGGCCAGTGGGGATCTAGAGGTCCTGAAATCGGACACGGAGACATGTGGTGACAGCGGGGGCAGTGCCAGTGCCCCGCGGCTATGGGAAACAAACTGAGCTGTTCGTGTGCCCCACTTATTAGGAAAGCCTATCGATATGAAGATTCGCCTTGGCAAACCTCACGTAGACGCGACGGACATCTCCTAAGGTACGAGCGCTGTTATTTTATCTCTTTCGCATTACTTAAAGGGAAATTGGGATGCTACTTTATTGATCACATTTCTTATTGATTTATGTTTGCAAGTCGTGCCTTTATAGTGGTAAAATACTCAACCTTCAAGTCGACTATTGCGGTTAACTCTTTCGTAAAGTGTACATGTAAAATTGCAAGGAATGAGACCCATCTTATGGGCCGTGCCCCATAAACTGAGTGGCCAAAGAAGCTTAACAAGTAATAACAAAAGCTATGGAAACCTTCTTTGGAAACGTTAGCTGTTGAATTGTCTGTGTTACAATCGTGCTTTATTACACAGAATGTAATGTTAGGACCTATGACCTATGTCGAACTCGAAAAAGAGGATTTTTAGATGAAAAGTGTAGGAATGGACACTACCCGATGGAGTTTACCGACAAAATTTTGTGCCGTGTTGTCAGGTTGGGTGAGGCTTTTCAAGTCGTTCACCTTTGGCGAAATGCACAACGAATAACTGACGTTGCTTCCTTTGGAGGTCGACCAAGAAGTGAATTTTTTAAATACCAGGATGGAAAACGAAATTCATGTACAGCTTTCAGAATTTTGTGATCTGTGATCTTACGTGATGTATTTTAGATCTGGAAAACTTATATGTGTAACTAAAACATACATCATAGCGAAGTTAAGTGGATACATGCATATACATTAGCCAATTTGCAACGGAAAAACTCAAAAATGTGTTATTCATACATGTTGTACAGGAATATCTGTCAATTTTTCATTGAGACTTGACAAACCGCAAGAATTGTACCTAGGTTTTCATGTATTTTATTTGAAAAGTAAAAACTGTTGCGGAAAAGCGGTGAATAACTTATAATTATTATTACATCCGCCGTAGAGAGCATTAAATAATAAAGCAGTAAACGTACAAAACGAAAACAATTATTTAGAAAGCGTTTTCTCGCATAGTGCACCTAAAACGCCCCTTTCTTAGGAAGTAGAGTGCGTTGAAAGTAATTGAGAATAATTTACGGCATATCGTCTAAATGGAAAATGTTTTCAGATTATGGGCTGAAGTATTTCACGTTTCCGCAAGTGGAGCAGGCACGGTAAAATGGCAACAAGTCAGCGAGGATCTTGTACCAGTTAACATAACGTGCATTCAAGATTCGCCCGAATGCGTTTTCCACATTACGGCCTATAATTCTCAAGTGGATAAAATCTTAGATGTTCGATTAGTTCAACCTGGTGAGTTTCAATCGCACTTTTCTTATTCTTGTGAACGCATAATTGGATGCCTATGAAAAAATTACCTCAAGTTGTATTTAATTTCGGAAAATTATAATAACGTTGATATTATCATTTTTATATCAAACAAAATGCCTTTGAAGTTGTTTCTTTTTAGTTACATCATTTTGTTTTTTTAAATTCCTTTTTGCTTTCTTTCGTACTACGCCACATAAGCATATCAGTAACGTTGTTCATAAAATAACACTATTTTGATTTTTTGGTAAAATATTTCCTTCAATTTTGATAACATGGGTGGTTGCATCTATATACGAGTAAGTTATCTTCCAGATAAGTTTAACTGAGACAAGGGACACCCGCAAAAAGCAATTTAAATTATTTTAAAAGTGTTCGGCGATACACCTGAAAGAGGGAAATCGCCCTGTTCGTTTTTAATTTAGATGTTGAGACAAATGAAAATGTTAATTTCCTTTTCCGCAGGTACTCGAATAGGACAAGCGTCGGAATGTTTCGTTTATTGGAAAGATCCAATGACGAACGACACCTGGGGTCTAAATTTTACATCGCCTATAGACGCTAAACAGTTTAGGGAATGCTGTGTAAGTAACACAATTTACCTAACGCTGCATGTCCATTTTGCAACCCCCTTTTAATACTCGAATTTGTTACTAATTGGATGGATATTGATGTATGAGTCACATTTGTAAGCGTTGCACTCCCCTTGTAATCTAATGGTATACGTAATCTGTGTTTGATTTGATCTCAAGTAAGTTGCTATTTGTGGGATGCAAGGTAAGCATATAAAATAACGTCCAAGTTGATGCACGAAGGTAACCTTTTCCCAATAATTACATTTCGCATGGATATCTAAATTGTTAGTAGTCGATCCATTTAATTTATGATAAGTTTAATTTCACGCAATTTGATCCGAACCCTCTAACCGCACAGTTAGTCAATTCTAAAGGTATTTATTATTAACAGTGTGATCAATTGCAGTCGCCGTCTTTCAAGTTCTCAAGGAAGGCGTCGTCTTCATATTCGCTGAAATTGGAGCCACCGAATAAGCAGAAGTTTAAAACAAAACGAAAACCGCTCAGCACACCTGCCTCGCCGAGTAGAGCTAGAGAACCACAATGTACGTGTATGACACCTGAACAATATGCTAGATTACGTGCTCAAGATCCGCGGTATCGAGGTATGCTTTTATATCCTCCTCGCTCTATTAGAACCCCAAAATGCTACCGATGTAGTTCCCCTGCACCACTACATCCAATTAGAAAAGAGGCACATTAGGTGTTCACGACGGTACAAATGCGTATGGGTGTGTTATGATTAATGGCCGTATGAATTATCATTAGGACCTTGCCTAATGAAAGAGGAGCGTTTCACCACTCCTAACTAGATATCTAACAAATTTTAACGTATGACGATGTATTTCAGGCTCTTCGACACTTCCGAGAGCGCAAACGAGAACGACAGATACAGATGCGAGGGCTGATAAAGTTACAGCTGCAACATCTTCCACAAGTTTATATGATAACGTTGGTGCTACTACACAGACTGGAACTACTCAAGGTAAGGACGTGGACTGCATGGATTAATTACACTTCCGATTAGTTACAGGAACCAAAGGTACGCAAAGAGAAGGAAGCCAAACAAAGCAAACAAGAGATCGAGGCGTTCAACAACAATCTCAAGAAACGAGTACCATGACTTCAAACACTTCTACTGGACCAAAGACTGTCACTGCTTCAATTGGAACACAAAACAACGTTGGATCACAGGTAATTAGCCAACAGCGGTATCCGAAACAACCAATACCTTTTTTTAGGCCGCTCAAACAGAATCACCATCACAAACTCAATCATCCGAAACGTCAAAGTCGGAAGGTATACAGGCAGGTGGTACCCTTCAACCCAATATAAAAACCTCATCCACGTCAACTCGCCCACCTTTCCGCGATAACCTCCACCACGTGCTTACAAATACCCGTTCCGTAGATTATCCCGACATGGATATGGTACGAGAAGCTGAATTACGATCGGCACACCACCACAACATTTTAAATAATAACATTAGCAGTAGAAGAAGCAAATCAAAAAGTACGGAGGACATGAACACGCAAAATAATATGAGTTTAGATAGCAATACGTTGAAAAGGATGTTGAAGCCAATGCCTAGCGCAGAGAGTCCTGTTACCTCACCCGAACTTGGGAGGAAGCGGTATAACTATTACAACGCACACCATCATCGGCATCCGAATAACAACAGTAGGTATTCAGAGCCCGAAACGGCACGGTTATTACCCAGATCGGCTATGGCGCAAAACTCACGCTTCTCCGGATCCAGGTACGTAACACTGCAGACATCCTCCAATCACAAAGATCTTGCAGATCTTCGCATGAAATAGGAAGAGGATATCCTGGGCGCGGTTTATATTTAGAATTGGAACGTAACGCTGCCGGTGACCTTTCCCCGCCTTCCGATAACGTTCTTTTTGATAATCAGTGTTACGCGACAACGCCTAGCTCGAGTAATGGAAATTCTGATCCAGAACAAGCGTCGCACTACCACGGTAGACAACCCAGGCACCCGCATCACCATCCGGTAATACAATCCGCTTCCTACGGTTGACGGTACGTAACTACCATTTCCAGAATGTGAATGAGTCCTCCACTCCCGGCTCGCCTACTAGTCGACTGCTACTCGAATACGAAATGCACCTAAGAAACACCCTGGCCAAGGGAATGGATGCCGAAAGTTATAGTTTGCACACATTCGAAGCGCTTCTGACACAAAGCATGGAGAATTTAGGTGCGGTCTTCGATCTTTGTTACCTAAATGAGTAAACCAATAAAATTGCGTTACAGAATTCGCCGAAAGCTTACCAGGTTCAAATCAACGAAGTCCGTATCCGTCGAGGAAAAGTGAGTAAACCCCCCAACCTGCACTTTTAAATGTTAACCTCTTGCACTCGGTCGTTTAGGACCAGCCCCCTCTAGTTCTTCCATAAACAAGTCTTCAACATTACCCTTATCTCATAGATTGAGTGTTGATCGTTCTTCAGGTGGTAGAGAAAGAGATCGGGATCGCGACGGCTACTATAGCGATAGAAACGAGTTGTTGAGAGAGCGGGAAAAGGAAAGAGAAAGGGAACGGGGATATCTGAGTGATCACAATACTGGGTAAGACGTCGACGGAATTTGGTTGTGTCTGATTTTTGCGATTTCAGCTATAATTCGAGATGCGCTTCCTGTATCGGCGAATCTAGCAGGGCGCAGTGGTTCCGTCATTCGGACGGATGGCGTTCTGGAAGTTCGACGTATAGTTCAACACAAGGTCTTCCACAAGGTGGTCACAAAAGGTCCCCATGGGATTCGTTACCGTCGCTTCGCCAGGATAGTAGCCTTAACGATAGCGGTTATAAAAGCGGACGAACGGACTCGTTCGAACAAAGGTAAAGAATTTTTCGGCGCCTTGAGGGACATACTTTAAGAGGATAAGATTAGTGGTTTCAGAAACATGCGAATAACTTATCGCTTTCCTTTTATATTCAGATGCGGCTTTGCCACAATCGAATGCTTTACACGCCGAAAGCTTTTCGATTACGAAGTTATCAAAAGGTGAAGTGATTATTTCTTTCTTTACAATGCAGATTTTCTTCGCTTCCGCTTTTCGGTGCCGATAAAAGCTCTTTATTCTCAAACACCTCATTCGACGCTTTCTACTTTCTATCGATCGCATAAATAAAGGCGGGCTAAAATAGAAGGCTACCATCTGTGAACAGCATCTTGTACTACGTTTCAATACATAATGATTTACTACTTCTTTTTGTTACTTTCGGGTATAGTAACATCATTTTATGTGAAAGTTAAACCAAATTTAAAGTATTACCCAACTTTTGTCGTAATGGATCAGTTTATTAACTTGATCCTCCTAAAGATGCGCCATTAAATTTATTGAAGCTTTAATTTATAATTTATGTTTGCTTCTACTATTTGACGGCTATGCGTAGAAGGGTTCAATGCAAAAGAGACAAACTTGTCATTTGTAACGTTGCAGTTTCCACAATTTTAAATTCCACTCAACGTCTGCTTCTTGTGCAAATTAAAAATTATTAACCTTTATGCTGTTTTCCATTGTTCCCAAATTCTTACACCATTTATGGGATGACGCACTCCTCTTTCTATATAGTCTTTATTGCACTTGTAAATGTTAACTTTGTTTTCCGAAAAGACCACTTCAGTCTTATGTTTGACTGTTTTTAGCCATGTTTATATTTGTATAGTAGCCTTTTTATATACTTGTCCTAAGTGCTCTCATTGAATTATTTTTAAATGCCAATTTGTCTACGTGATTGGTGTTTTTAAAAATTTCGAACTTGCAGTTCCACAACATCATTTAAATGCCCTTGTAGTGCAAGTTATAATATTTATTTGTTACTCAGTTGTAAACGTTGATTAACAAGACAAAACGCAAACGGGTAAACGTCATGTTTAAACGCTACTGACTTGTAAAACTGACAGCAGACCTGTAAAAATTTTACAAGTTAGTAATCTAGTAATTTCATTGGCCAGAATTAATGCGAAGTCTCTGTTACATGGATCACATGATATTTTAGACATTTCTTCAAGATCAATTTAAGAACTAATTATTTACGTTTACAAATGAGTAACAAATAAAATATTGTACATTATACGCCAGGTAATAGTTTTTACTGGCTCTAGGAGATGACAGGCTCGCCTAACGGCTCGCCAGTCAACTTCTCCTATCGCCAGTAAAAACCCACTTACCTGGCTAATAATGTAAAATACTATTATTAGTATTTTGCAGTTTATATTTTTCTCAACATCGTCTTGAAACCTTCACTTTCATGCATTAATAGTTTAATAGTTTCCTGTATAGTATGCATAAACTTATAACTAACTCATAAGTGTGCGTTTACAATGAACGTATACGTAAATATTTCATAAACCGTAACTCGTACATATCCGTATCGTTTCCGTAAATTTAATTCGCTGTTTACAATAAACCAAAGATCATACTACAAGTAGTATGATATTTGACCGTACGTAACTTTGAAACATTTTCAACCTTTGCGACTATGCGCAAGACTTACCTACATGTCGCTTACATATACGTACGTAAAAATTACGTTCATTGTAAACACCTTCGTATGTTTCTATACAGCTCAACTTTGCGAAATTTTTACGTTTTATGTATTTCTTACGTATACGTTCATTGTAAACGCACATTAACTTCTATTGTTTTCTGTTGACAATAATTTTGCATAAGGACGTGTCATAAAAATGAGAAATAAGAAAGAAAGGGAGAAGGAAAACATTAACATTACTTAAAACCTTGAACACTAACATAGGTACTTCTACAGACTCATCGACGGTGTAAAAAGCATTTTCGCTTAGAATATTTTTTATTGATCTTTTAAAATGTTTGAGTGTGTGCTGGTTTTTAATTGAGTTTAATATATTTATTAAAAATTTGATATTAAAAGAGACGATTTCTGAACAAAACTCGCATTTTAAATTGGTTACCATCTTATTAGGCATGTGCTTCATTACCTTAACGGTCAATTTTTCTATTACAAGCTATCGAGAAGTAAATTTGTTTATTTTTCATTTGCCCATTATATGTCAATTATATCTGTCATATGTGATATATGAAGCAGTCTATTACGCCCAAGGGCATAATGAGAGGGCATAATGGATTGTCATCTCATTATGCCCTCAAACGGCCTGTCAAATTGATTGACGGAGTTATATTATGTAATAAAAAAGATGCAACTTTATTCGTATGAAGCACTTTAATGTTGGGAAAACAATAATCATGACATTTGCATATTGGAAATGCATTCTTTGGAACGATGAAAAATAAAATGTTGTATGCACCTCAGGCATTACTCAATATTTAACCCTCGGGCGACTTACAATCCCTCGGGCCGGAGGCCCTCGGGCTCTGTCGCCCTCAGCATAAATATCGCCTTAATGCCCTTGATGCATAAATAACTATTAATTTCGCCTTTTTGTTTGCTTTACGGCCGTTTGCACCGACAAATTTAAGCGGCGCTTAGCTTAAGTGTAGCTTAAAATCCATGGCAATCATGGTCTCAATAATCGTTGCCGCTTAAGCTAAGCTCCACTTAAATTTGTCGGTGCAAACGGCCATTAATGAATTTGTACAAGTTCTTACTGTTGCCCATTAGTCCAGTCGACAGGTATTTTCGGAAGTTAATGAAACTCTGGGATGGTGGTCATGAATGGTTAATTAACGTTTTCCATACCTCGAGGACCGTGTGCGAAAAGAGGAGGGGGGGGGGAGACTGTAAAATTTTTGACATTCCTCTGGATTTTCCTCAACTGGTTTCCTTACGTCTCACGGCAAAAGCCCCTATTTATAGAGCGCTACATTTCCTACAATTTTGACTATTAAAACATGTTTGTGTGTCAATAAACATAAACATAAAATAGGAATGTCAATGTCAAACATTTTACAGTTTTTTGCACAGAGTTCTTGAGGTCGAAAGCTTGAGAAAATGTGAAATAACCATCCCTGAACAACATCCCAAAGTTTCATTAACTTCCGACCTTTTTCCTTCTAACCCCACTTTTTCCAACCTGTCGACTGGGCTTTATTCTTAGACAGTGAGCCTTCAAAGCCATATCATATTGAAAATGTAGTAGTATCGAGTATTTCAAAACCTTCTTAGGACATTTTCTTGAAATCTTACTAAAACCAATTTCGGAACGTACAAATCCCGTTATCTAGAAATCTACATAGAAAATATAGATTATTTCTGCAAATCATATAAGAGATCTTCCATCCCCCTTTCAAAATTCCATACTTAATTAGAAATCCGTTTAGGCATCTTAAGTAGAATCTTCCGCTTTTCAAATTCTTGAAAATGTGTTTGAAATCTGTACTAAAAGTCAGAGAATAGTTCATCTAGGAGATATGCTGAAGAATCTCCTTTGAAATCGTTTTATAAGTTATTTTTTACGCTATCCTCCTTTGTCGAAACCTTCTCGGAAATGATCATAGGAATGTTATGAAATTGTAGAAATTTTCTTAAAAATATTCTTAAGTATAAGTGGGAAATTCTCTTCTAAACAATGTTAGAGATCGTCCTAGAACGTGTAGTATCTTTTAGCTCTCAGAACTAAAAGCAATCTGTTTAGGAATACTTTTGGAAATATTCTTAGAAATAGTTATTCGTTAGCCCTTTTGCCTTTTTTTTTTAGAAATATTTTTGAGGGCCTTCTTGGAAACCTGCACTCGTAATCGACTAGAGGTATTCTTTTCGAAATTCTCTTTAAGAACTTCTCAGGAGCTTCCTCGAAGTCCACCTAGGATCATTTGATTAAATTTAAATTTTAAACGTCCTAAAATGCGTGAAAAACCTCTTAAGAAATGCCAATAACCTTTTTAGAGGTCGGCCTAGAAACCGTTTCAGAAAACGTAATGGTAATCCTCTTACAACTTTGCTTTTGTTTACAATAAAATAGACAACAGAAAATCCACGAAAAGATTTTTAGTTTTAACATAAACAGGACACTATACTCATTTAAATAAGGTTTCCTAATTCCTGATAGCCAATGTGAATTAAGTCGCAAAATAAGTAAATATGGTGCACGTTTATAATATAAGCGATAAGAATGACCAGTTATTAACATTTGGCATTACTCATATATTGGAGATAATTTTCAAATCGTATGATTGCAACCTGTTTATTGTGTTACCGACCGGGTGAATGTGCAGTTTATCTAGTATTTTGGTGAAAATGTTGCAGGCGGTATTGTTAATTAAATTGAAAAGTTGCACGAGTTTTAAAAGTAAATTGTTAAAGAACTGCTTTGATGTTCGACGGATTACCATCAGCAACCAAATTAAGGTAAAACCTTTAACAATTTTTATAGCGTTACCTTTTCGGAAAAATAATCTGTTTTTCTCCAACCACCTGAATAAGACGCTATTTTGTGACAGTGTTCGGTACGTAAAATTGACGTTTTGCGGATTAATCGCTTTCACCATGGCAACTGTACAAAAAGTGGATACTTTTGGTCCTAGTACCAAAAAGAAATTGACCTTGAAAATTGGCCAATTAAAAAATTGCAATCACGGAGATATGTCACATTGACATCGTTTTACATTGCAGGTTGTAAGATATTTCTATACATACAAATCAAATATTTTTGCATATTCAATGCAAATAATGATGTTACCTATACGTATTGTACATGTATTGAAAATGATTTACGCTCCCTATTTTTATTTAAACCATGTGTAACGTAATTTACATATTCGATGAACGTAATTTTAATACGTATACAACCCGCCGTCGCGCGTAACGCCATCTACTTCAAACCCATTGCACTATTATCTGTCATTTTGAATTCAAAATTTGAAAAAGTTAATTGCAATTAATTTTAATTAAAAAACTGTATGGTAAGTTTTTTATTCCAATACAAAATATAACAATATTAATTGTGTATACAATAGAAATGACTGAAACTGATAGCGACATGGATTGCACTCCGCCAGAGATTTTAAAAACGGCAGAACATGCTACCTCAACATTTGCTCCCTACAAAGTCGCGAGAGGTGAGAAGTAAGCAGTAAGAACGAATAGGTTATAAGTTAACCTAAAAACTAGAGTGGCATGACACGTGAGGACAAGAAAGCAGAAGTTTTTATACTAGTAGTGAAACTGTGACTGAATCTAAATTCGAATATAATTTGAAGTAAAGGGGGTTGGAGAAAAAATTTTATGTTTTATTCGTACAAAAAATGCGTTTTCGGGACTCGGAAGGTTGCTGGACTCCGCTAACGCGTCGTCCAGCAACTATCTTCCTCGTCCCGAAAACTGACATTTTTTGTACTAATGAAACAAATAACTATTTTGTGGGTGGATTTTAAATTTAGTTACCGAAAAGGATAACAAAATTTGTTAGCGTTTTCGAAAAAGTGATTAGATTGTTAAAGTGCAATTTTTCGTTTTACAAGTTGACATACATTGTACAGTATTACTGTGGTGGCTGGTATGTTTTCGCATTAGAAAAAGGATTCTTACAATAACATGGAATGCCACACCGTATTTTTTAATTTTGGCAAATTCATATATCAAAAGCTTTTAGTGTCACATTGTTGTTACTCCTTGCCGGTTTTTTGCTTAAACTTCAGCATTTTAAACGAAATGCTCCTATTTTTGTAATTAATTGTGACTCAGCAAGAACGTAAAAAAATTTAAATAAAGTCTTTTAAATCGGAGACTTCCCAGTTTACCTGCACAAATTGACGCAATGTATCCAGCCCTCGCCTGAATGAAATTGAAGGGTGATTTGCGTTTAAATATAATTGTTCGAAATCATAGTAATAGATACACAAAAGAAAAACGGCGTGATTTTCACGGCTGCCATACACCAAAATTTGCACCCCGATTTGGATTTAAAAAAACCGAGCACGTGAAGCTAGTACTTTACGAGGTACTTTATTAACTTATGAGTTTGAGGACTTCTTCGTTTTCAAGAATAATTCAGCCTGAACATGTACAACATTTTTTTCCCTTGAAATATAAATAGACATATAGTAGATATGTTTTGAGTGCAAAACATCTGCAAAAAGAATGGGTATTCAAATTTCGATACGTGCCCTAGCGATCCAAAAAAATATTTTATGATTTTGATACTTCCGCAGAAATAACTTTCAATTTAAGCTCAAAACTATTTGAAAAATCTACGCCTCTCAAGTTGAAGTAAAAAAACACGACTGTCTTTGATTTTTGTGTTACAAAATAAACAGTGCATCGTTCTATGATGAGCAAATTGCATTTGCCATGTGACGCGTTAGTCCAAAATGACTCTTCACTCAGAAGCTGATTAGCAGAATATTGCACCTTATCAACCTAAGCTACCTGACGTGTCCGCGGTTTCGATGAAAACCAACTGATCCCAAGTGTTCGCAAAGTTCTTTTAAAGTAGTTTTCGTGCTTTTTTCAAGTTCTTTTGAAGCGTTTCCTGGTTTTCCCCTAAATATTCTCTTTTTTAAGTTTGTATAAAGCTTTCTTGAAATTCCCATCCAATTCACTCTTCAAATTACTTCTTAAGGTTTCATAAAATTAATGCCCCTTTCTCAATTTCTTCATAAGTCGTTCGAAAGGTTTTCAAATTCACTTTAAGTTACTTCTACGTTTCCCCCAAGTTCCTTTTATCACATCCTCTGCAAGTTTTCCTCAACTCCACTTCAACTCACTAACGGGGATGGTTCGACCTGGAGAAAGTGAATATTAGAATGAAACAAAAATTAAAGAAAGAAGAAATAGTGGGGTTATTTGGGGGTATAAAACAATATGCTTGGCGATTGCCCTTGGATGTACTAGAGAAATTAGCTCAAGTCATTCGGTTCTCTCGGCACATGGAACACAACAGAAATGTTTGCCAGACTTCAAATTACTTATCACTTTTTTCAATGGTTATATGTAATTGTCGGACAGTCATTTGCGATGGAAGTCCTATTTATGCCATTCTAATATCGTTGATAATCATATTTCTTTGTGGACGTGTAATATAATGTTAAGTTTGTTTTAGATATACTGATATACCGTTTGAATGGTACAGTGGAGAAGCATCGTAACTTCTGCATCTTTGTTACTCACACGTCACACCGAAACGATGATATGAAGATGATAGCAAATAGCTTTTCACTCATATTTTGGTGTAGCTAAAGCAAACACCCGAGTGGTGTTGGTTTGAATTAAATAAGCTCATCCTAGAGAATTCGAGATTGAATTTTTTCCTTCAGGACATTTGCCCACAAAAAAATTGTCGTTTCCGTGACAATCTGGTCAATTCCTGTTTAGTACAGAATATTATTATGAACGTTAAAAATTCCGTATTACAACTTTTCCTTAGTAAGTTCAATTTGACGAAGTAACTTAGAGTCGACTTTCTTTGTGCTGAATATTTCGGTGGCGAAATGTTTGAAGTAGAATATTCAGCAAAATTGTTAAGTGGAAAATATAGCCAATTTACCCTTAGGGGACAGTTTCCATGAGAACGAAGTCTTCGTAGGCGATATGCCACTAAATCTTCAAAGAAAGGGTTAGTTTGTATATTATCAAGTGAATTTGTCCGTTTCCGTGACAATCTGGTCAATTCCTGTTTAGTACAGAATATTATTATGAACGTTAAAAATTCCGTATTACAACTTTTCCTTAGTAAGTTCAATTTGACGAAGTAACTTAGAGTCGACTTTCTTTGTGCTGAATATTTCGGTGGCGAAATGTTTGAAGTAGAATATTCAGCAAAATTGTTAAGTGGAAAATATAGCCAATTTACCCTTAGGGGACAGTTTCTATAGGCGATATGCCACTAAATCTTCAAAGAAAGGGTTAGTTTGTATATTATCAAGTGAATTTGTCCATGGATTTGTAAAAAATCAGCGTATTTTTAATGCTTCATGGTCTCTCACTGAACTATAAAACTGACATTTTTATAAACCCTTTCTAAGGTTTATTTAAAATGGATTGTTAAGGTATCTACAACAATGGTAACGTCCATTATACTATTTGAAATACGCCGCTTTTCGTAGGTACCTAATATTGTTGAATCTGTTACCATGGTTCGTACCTACGCCAGCCTTGAGAAACATTTAGCTCTCATGATAAAATTTTAACAAAAGACGATTTTTGATAAAATATGCTTCACGGCCAGTTGCACAAAAAAAATCCAGGATTATTGTTTAATCCGGTATTAAGACATTTGATTGGCAATGCAGAGCTGGGCAGTATTCGATTTTGTAGCACTTTCGTATTCAAATACTTTGTAATTAAATACTTTTATGGAAGCAGTATTTGTATTTGTAACTCAAATACTTTCGCGAATATTTAGTATTCGAATACTTGACCAAGTATTCAAATACTTTGCAAATATTTGAATAACTTAAAGGTATTCGAATACTTAGCAAAATATTCGAATACGGTACCAATTTTCAAAGCGATTGAACGTTACTAAAGTTATCGTGTATACGGACATACAGACGGACAGAAAAGGATCTGGTTCAAAATCGAATTTCAGAAAGGTGTACGTGTCATGTACACGACGTACGATCGCTTTGAAAACTGTACACGTGTTCTTAAGGATATAACTGATATAAGAAAGGTCCGGAGGGCCTGGTACCTCCTATATCCAGTACTATTTTAAATTTTTAAAGTATTAAAGTGACAAGTATTTGAATACTTTTTACTGTATTTGAATACTTTTCAAAGCAATCTACTGAAATACTTTTCAAAGTATTCGAATACCGTTGATAGTATTAGAATACTTTTGAAAGTTTTCGAATACCTTTGAAAGTTTTGAAAGTATTCGAATACATTCTAAAGTATCTGAATACTTTTCAAAGTATCTGTATTTAGTTTTTGCTGGACGTAAACGTATTTAGTATTCAAATACTTTTGATTTGTCTAAATTATTTACTGTTTAGTATTCAAGTACTTTTTGAAAGTATTCTGTTCAGCTCTACCCTCAAGTGACAAGTTCGTGTTCATAATTCGTGTTCGCATTAAATTTATCCCTGAGCTTCAACACCTTTTCACGTAGAAGTTCTTGGATTACCCCTTTGAATTTATGATTTTCCATGCAAATGTTCCCTAAATTGTTTTAACCACTTACCCTAATTGCATATACGCGCAGCCTACAGTTTGTAATTTAAAGGGCACGAAAATAGATTAATTATCATTTCTGATTATCAATAAACATCCATAACTCAGCCGAGAATAATAATCGCGTTATAAACGAGCGACTAAATTTATGCAAATCATTAACAGTGTCGACATATGTATTTGTACTGCTTTATGCAGTTATAAATAGGTGACTTGCTAAGTTAATTAAGGGAATGTGTATTGTGGTAATTATGCGCGGTACGTACCCGCTCAGATACAGTACTTTCCTTGATCCACACACTTTTATTTAGGCATATGTGATTGTTTCAGGGGTCTTTTTGATCGTCAAGATAGCCTTAGATCCGACTACATGAGCGATCGAGAATCCCGATATGGTATCGTTCAACAGGCTTCCATTGAAAGTGCCGATTCCAAATTGTGTTATCTCACGTCGTCAGAGGTAAGTGAGCTTTCTTTTCAACCCTTTTCACTCGCGATTGACGCGTTGTGGTACGAATAAAATCGATTTGCGGAGGAAACACTGAAGTCGACTATAATTGCCGTGTTTCCAAATCATCCCAGCGGATGAATGTTTCTTTGACTCCGGATTACCGGTACCTTCCAGTTTAATTGGAAAGCAATCTCGACATCATTAAAGATATTATTGAAACAAGTTCGCTTTTGTTTTCGCACACAATTTATTTTGAAACCACCCACTCGTGAATGTCAATAAGGGGGGGTAGAACGAATTTAACAATTAATTCTGAAAGCGTTTTATGTGGAACTTTATCCGTAGTAAATGGGAATTCATTGATGAGGCCCATCAGTTCGAACACGGCCGTAATGAGCCTTCTATTTATTCTGTGCAAATCAGAGATTGGAAGCGAGTTGTGTCATTATTTTTCTATAATACGCCGATTACGCAATATTTGACGCGTAACGTTTCGTTATGGTGCCCATAAAAATTACAAATGGGAGAAAGGCCCTTAATGTAAACATTTTCTATTTTTTATAATTTAGCAATAAGCACAGACTAAATGGTATTTAATCTGCGTCTAAATTTTTCCATGACTAATGTTGAGATCAAAGTTATTACTGTGAAAAATCTGGATAGTGGCAATATTCAGCCCCATCGCATTTAGAGGGAAACACCGGTTAATCTTTTATTTCGCTGGCCTCAAAAGGTTACTCGGCTATATGTCACCCAAGACTGTAATTTACTACCTAATTCTGGTGGGTGAGGCGTTATAAAGCATAATACAATTTTTTATTCAAAAGTATTATGCAATAATTATCTATATACATCGGTCTGAATATTATTGAATTCACATTACCTAAAATGCCCAGAAAGGACCCTTCCATCAGTTGCAAATATGTTATATGATCAATATATCTTCAATAATCTTTAATTATTAGAAAATTATATTGAATACCACCCTTGCGGGCATAAGTGCCCTAAAATCTGGGTCGTGATATGCAGTTTAACATAAAAATCAGTACATAATCAATGAAAATTACCCACCTCTTCCTATTACTGTATGCTTTTAACGTGGAAATTTATTCGATGCATTTCATGTGATTTATAAATAAACTAGAAACGGGTCCTCTTCGAGCAAACCGAAACGGTATTATGCGTTAAGTATTGTCAAAATTTTTGTAGTGTTTTGATGTAGTGTTTTCGGGTGCATGGGTATTAGGTTTAACAATTGGGGTAAGCTCAATAATTCTCTTATTGTTTAGCACTCAAGTGATGTGAAACTTTTAAGGACTTACCGAAATACGTTTCCTAATCTACTGTTGTTATACTCGTAAGTATACCAGAGATGAGATATGACATGTTATCATTTTAATTATAAAATACTTTGTAATATGCTTCGCTTGAAGAAGGTATGGGTTCATAAGAACAATGGAGAACAGGTTTTTCAGTACATAACGATCACTTTTATACTACACGCAGTATTCCCATGCGACATAATATAATTTAAATTGTTAAAAACCTTGCAGTTAGGGTGGTTTTAGGTTTGTGCTTGTGTAATTAAATCACGCCTTACCAGACACTATGAAGATCTAATTAGCTTACAGTGCTCCTTATTATAGCATATTATTTTTAACGTAGCTCTTAATTTGATAGCAGAATGACAATCATCTTGTTTTCCTTATACCGTCAAATTCAATTTGGGATTTTTTCTTAAAAATAATCACTAAAATACTTTCAGCCGTTCAGAAATGCGTAGGTATATAGGTACCCTAATGTAGTTGAAAATAATAATTATCTTTTCTATATTAGTCCAGGCTAAATAGCTCTAAAATAATTTATTAAAAAAAAATTAGTTACCGGGCGGAATCGGGTTTTTCAGGCAGGTGAAATGAATAGAAATTGGGAAAAAATAATTAAAACGGCTGAATTTTTCCGCGGGTGAAATCCCGGAGGTTGAAAGGGGTGGAAAGTGATGTTTTGCAAATTGTGGCAAAACTATTAATTTTAGACGAACATGTTAAATGTAAAAGTTATAGAGATTGAAAAATGAGCAACTTTTGTATCTGCACTATTTTCACATAATCTCCAATTTTCCTAGAAAAACTGGAAAAACTGTTTTTTTCGTTTTTTATTCTTATTTTTGCGAAAAAATGTCGTAGGGGTTTGAAATTTGGAGGAAACATAGATTGTTTTATGATAAAAAAGAAGATAATTTTTTGGGTCTGTAAAGTTGAACCGTTTCCAAGATCTCACGATTTCTAAAAAAACCACCTCTTTTTCAAGGGGATGAAAAATATATTTTTTTTGTTTTATGTTTACATAAAAGTCAGGAAAATGACACATTACTGGCGAGGAGGAACCGAGTGCTATAATTTAATAATAATAATAAGCCATTTTCTTAAAAATATAAAAGGAACCACAAATGTTATTGTTTCTATAAAGCAATCGATTTCGGGTTTAAACACCCATCATCAGGCTATGCTAAAAAATATCATATGAATTTGAAGTTGAACACAGAATTAAAATTATTACCGTCATTTGAATTATATAAAATGCAGCGACATTAAGTTGAATAAAATTCAATGACGGTAATAATTTTAATTCTGTGTTCAACTTCAAATTCATATGATATTTTTTAGCATAGCCTGATGATGGGTGTTTAAACCCGAAATCGATTGCTTTATAGAAACAATAAACATTTGTGGTTCCTTTTATATTTTTAAGAATCTCAACGAACCCAAAAAATGGAGAACTACATTACATAAATAAGCCATTTATTGGACATACTTCCACCTCAATAATATATAAAAACAAAACAAGAAAACAATTTAAAAAAAAAAAAGAAGAAAAGGAGTGTCCGAAGGGACGAAGTTCAGTCTTGCCAAAATTAGGCGACTGTTCTACCACTTAATCCCAAGATGAGAGTAAATTACTGTCTGCTAATTAGGAAATGGCGTACATGTAGCTTAAAATGATCAGAGGCTAAGGTTTTAAACGAATCAGGTAACTCATTATAATATTTCGCAATATTATATGAAAAAGATCGCTTGTATAGCTGCGATTTATGGTTAGGTATAATGAGTAAACTTTTATTTCTTAAACAGAAATCATGAAGTTGTGATGAGAACTGTATTTTATTATAGAGATAGGAGGGAGTTTTGGTAGTAATTATCTGGTGATATAAACATGCTGCATGTAGCCTTCTTCTGTTATACATGTTCAACCAATTCGTTTCCAACAACTTGTACTCAACTGATTCATACTTACGAATGCCAAAAATTAATCGTAAGCAAGAATTTTGTATTTTTTGAATCCTTTTTTCGGTAGCACTATCAAGACAGGGCCCATACACAGCATCACAGAAATTAAATTGGGACAAAAATAGCGATTCACAAAGAAGAATTTTAGTTTTACTGTTTAAAAAGTTTCTTTGGTTATAAATTAGTTTAAGATTACAAATAGCTTTCTTTATGCACAAAGAAATGTGATCTGAAAATCTTAACTTAGAGTCGATCATCAATCCAAGATTTTTAGCGACATCCGAAATCTGAATATTGACACCATTAACAACAATTGCATTTGAAATACGGCTAGCTACTCTTTGTTTAATTTTGTCTTTCCCAAAAAGCAAGACTGTAGTTTTGTTAGGATTGATGTTTAACCCATGCGATTTGGAAAATTCAACTAAACACTCCACATCTTTATTAATAGCATAGATTGCAGTGCCAATATCATTTTCGTGAAATGTGTGATGCAGTTGGGTGTCATCCGCGTATAAATTATATCTGCATTGTCGTAAACAACTACCGAAATTACATGTATATATAGTATACAACAAGGGACCAAGAATTGATCCTTGGGGTAATGGGAAGAAACATGGATGTAGCATTATTTAAAATAACTCTTTGCTGACGACAATGTAGGTAATTACCAATAAGTGCGATGGCCGCAGTATCCAATCCAACAAAATGCAAAATTGCTACAAGAGTGCGATGACTGATGGTGTCGAATGCTTTGGAGTAGTCTAACATTACTAGAGCGGTTAACATACCCTTATCAGTGGCAGCCAGGATATCGTCAGTAATGTTAAGCAATGCTGTGGTGCAGCTATAACCTTTCCTAAATCCTGATTGTCCATCTGGGAGAATATGGTACCTATTAAGATGTGAAGTAATTTGCTGTGCCACAATCTTTTCAAAAACTTTAGACAATACCGGCAGGATGCTAATGGGCCGTAGATCTTTAAATTCTTGTGGATTATTAATTTTAGGCTGGGGAATAACGTTAGCACATTTCCAGATATCTGGACACACGCTATTTTTGAGACAGGAATTTATAATGTGGGTCATAAAAGGAGCAGCAAATGGACAGCACAATATCAGCATTCTAACACCAATACCATCACACCCCACAGCATTAGTTTTGATACTCATTAAGTATTTGAGCACCTCTGTTTCCGACACACTTGAAAACTTTAGTTTGGATGTAATGTTGCACTTAAGAACATTTCCGGGTCAAGTTGTGTCATTTTGCTGACGAGTTTTTTTATTAAATTTTACGCGAAATCGTAATCGAAAAAATTTTGATTAATGTCAATCTGTTAATGATGACCGGAATTTGACAGAAATTTAGCAATGTGACAGGTGCGGCCGGTAAAGTGACAGGCGGCAGGAAATGTAGTCTGGTATGCCTCCGACATGGAAACTAAAATTTCCCGCCATAAAATGGGCATGAAAATGGTTTCATGACGATTTTGGGTAAAAACTATGGCGTATCTGGCTGTCTAGCTTATTAACGAGCTCTTATTCGAGTTCATGATTTTGGACTTTTTGTCCGTCCGCCCGTCTGTCCGTCTGTGTATCATGATAACTCACGAACGGTTTCAAATTTTCCAATTCTGGTTTCAGTAATAGGTAGACAGTGGTCAAGACACTAACTAATTAAATTTTGGTCAATACTCGTCAATCGGAGGTGACCTTGTT